CGCGAAAGCCTTCGCTGGTCTCTGATGACTGAACAGGTCCGCAGAGATTCAGCTCCTCCCAGGCTCTAACATGCCAGACCTTAATACAACGAACCCTCCCACGCCACTCTTGTTCCATACATCTGTCAGTTGCTCAGCCCCAGGAATCTCACCTCAAAATTTTGAATAATGAAACACAGTTTAGGAGCTCTAAGGCTGGGGACTTGGAGAGGAGGAGTGGGTTTGAGGAAGAGCCGGGTTGGGGAGGTGGGGATGATCTGAGATAGGGCAAAGTCTAACTTGAGAATCCCTCAGTCCCTAGCAAATTGCAGTCTTATTTCTGAGGGATTGGTGGGGGTATATATGTCTGTCTGGGAGTGAGTGACAGTACATGTGTTCCTACACAGATGTGGGAGCTTATCTGCCAGCACCTGGTAGGTATGGAGATGATGCCAGTATGTATGTGAGACGTAGCCCAGAGCATCTCCAATGTCATTCTGCCCTTTCTCACCAGAAGCATCCGTTAGACTCACCAGGCTGGTACTGACCTGCAGCAAGGTACACGCCTGCAGAAATTCGGGTTTTGTTTGTTTTTGTTTTTGATACGATCTGGCCAAGAACTTGCTATATAAGGAGGATAACCTTTGCATTTCTGATCCTCCTGCCTTACCTCCTTTGTAGGGTTCCAGGCATTTCCCCCACTACCTGGTTTTATGAGGCTCTCAGGATCAAACCTAGGGCTTCATGCAAGCTAGACAAGCACTGTACCAACTGAGCTGCATCCCCAGCCCAGTGATGCTCCCCCTCCCAAATTAATTTTATTTTATGCGAATGAATGTTTTGCCTGCTTGTATGTGCCAGTACCTGTGAAAGCCAGAAGAGGATATTGCGTCCTCCTGGAACTGTAATTACAGAAAGCTGTGGGCTGCCATCAGAGTGCTGGAAACCAAACACTGGTCCTCTGCAAGAACAGCCAGTGCTCTTAACTGCTCAGCCACTCCTCCAGCCCCAACAATGCTTTTTAATTCACAGAGCAGCTACAACCCTGCCTCTGATGGCCACCAATCATCCTCTCCTCATCAAATAATAACAGCTAGGGTGTCTGGGCTGCTTCCAAGTAGTCAGGCTCAGGCCTAAGCCTTCCACATATAATGTACTCATCTAACTCCTTCCTAACCCTGTAAGGACAGCACTGCTGTTACCCCTATTTTTTATAGGAGAAAAGCATGAGGAACAGTTAGTTCCGAGACATATGCATCCACTGTGCACTGGAAACCAAGGTCCTCTGGCACCTGCTCTTCTATGGCTTTCTAGGCTCCTCCTCCTCCAAGAAGGGGCAACAGGCATTGCTCCTCCCTGTTCCTATGACCTCACAGGCACCCAGTAAGAGGATTTGAGTGAATCTAGTAGCCACTCTCCTCAGAAGTAGCCACCACACGGTGATCTATAGGTTATAGGTCGAAGGCTGTGGAGGCCACTTAACTTCTGACCTTCCCAACACTGTACTCTTCCTTCGTTTCCAGATCATTTCCTGCACCCCAGTTTTTAACCACGTCTCCTCTGATCATGTTGTTGGGACTGACCTAGTTGGGGGTCTGTCCTGGTTAGTTTTTGTTTTCCGCCAGCCTGCACAACCTAGATGTATCTAGGAAGAAGGAACCTTAATTGGGAAAAGGCCTCTACAAGATTGCCCTGTTAGACAATTCTGGATCAGTGATTGATGTGGAAAGGCCCTGCCCATTTTTAGGTAGTTCTAGCCCTGGGCAGATGGTCTTAGATGGTATAGGAAAGCAGGCTGAGCAAGTCATGGGAAGCAAGCCAGGTACATAGCATCCTCCACAGCCTCTGCATCAGCTCCTGTCTCCAGGTTTCTGCTCTGCTTGAGTTCCTGCCTCAATTTCCCTGAATGACGGACTGTGATCAGGACATGTGAGCCAAATAAACACTTTCCTTTGCAATATGCTTTAGTCATGGTGTTTTGTCACAGCAGTTGAAACCCTAACTAAGACAGACACCTGGTGAGCAAGATCTGGATAGGTAGAGCCTCCCTCTCTCCCTGTGGAGGGAACCCTTGGCAGTTCCTTCATGCTTCAGGTCTGGGACTGCAGCTCGTTATCGGAGTCAATATCACCCCATGTTCTTCCTAAGCAAGACCAAGCTCTTTTTTTCTTTTCCTCCTGAGACAGGATATCTCTGTGTAGCCTTGGCTGTCCTGGAACTTGCTCTGTAGACTAGGCTGGCCTCAAACTCACAGTGATCCACCTGCCTCTGCCTCCTGAATGCTGGGATTAAAGTTGGGGGCTGCCACCTCCAGACTCCAAGTTCTTTATTTGGCATCCAAAACCCAGGTTGGATCTTTGATTGTGGTCATGGAGTGTCATTCTTTGAGAGAGGAAGAGGTGGCAACAACTTTCGACTCAAACCTTTTCAAGTTCACACGGGTCTCCTTATTCCCTCCCATCCCCAGGGACTGAAAAATCCCAACCCCAGCAATTAACACAAGCTTCTAGATTAAAAAAATCTCAGGCTGAGACCTGTTCAGAGTAGATGCCCTCTCCCCAGACTCAGCGTGGCTTCTACATTAGACTCCTGAAGAGAAGCCTCATTTTCATTCATCTTGGCAGGCCAGAGCTGTGCAAGGGCAGGGTGGGGCCCTGGAGGTCACTCCCATGCCTGAAATTTTGTTTTCAGTGCTGGAGACTGAGAATGTTTGCACATGCTAAATAAGTACATTTTGCTCGGTTACATGTTTAGTGTCTGAATTTTTGAGAAATTAAGAAATAATCATATAAACTACAATCATCTAAATTGCCATCAACTGATAACGGAAGTCAGGCATGTTATTAAATATTACATCCAGGGGCTGGGGCACAGCTCAGTAGTAGAGTACTTGTCTCAGATGTGCAGGGTTCTGGGTTCAATTTGTAGCACCACAATGAAATAAAACTACACCTGTGTCAGAGCCAGGCAAAGACCCTCACTCACTGTTCCATAGTCAGGCCACCCTTCAGAGCAGGGGTATATGGTATGCTGCCACCGTATCTACTCAAAAAGTGTGACTTAAGGACAAGATAATTCCTGATGGTGCTGTTAGGGCAGAGGCCAAGTCTCCACTGTCAGATGGGGAGGCCCTGAGACTGCTAGGCAAATTCTAATTTCTCTTCCTCCCCAGTATCTCCCAGACTTCCAGCACTTGGTTCCAGCTATAAAGGAGACATTGTGAAAGAGGCCACCAGGCAGCAGACAGAACAAAAGCACATCCTCAATGTAATTTTCTGCCTTAGTTTATTTATCCTGGATTGGTCTAGAGGCCAGGTTTACATTCGACATGCAAGGACTGTAGAAATCCCTGGGGCCCACTTTCACCCACCCATCGAGGATGGAACTCTTTGGAGACAGAGTGGACGGACCCCCACTTTGCAGGTGGGGAGACTGAGGGCCGGAGGCACCATTGGTGCCTTCCCTGTCACTGCCCCCATCCCCTCTTTATGTCACTGCCCATCCACTAGGACCCTGCATTCTCTTGGCACCCAGAAACAAAACATAAGGCTCTACTACCTTAATTATTGGTTGACCCAACATGCATTCATCTCCAAGGCTTGAAGCCTCTGCTGGGGCCTGTCCATTGCTGTTCAAAGGGGCCATGCAAAAAAAAAAAAGAAAAGCATAGCCAACCATTCTAAGAGCTTCAAGAGGCTAGGCTGACATTGTCCCCTGTCCACTTGGAAAGCTGAGGTCTGGCTCCTCTGGACAGTCAGATTTCAGAAAAATGAACCAAACCAGTTGGACATTGACTGTTGTTGCTAAAGCGAGGTAGGCAGCAAGGGGGAGGTGAGGAGAAGGGGGGTTTCCTCCCAGCGCCCTGACAGCCCTGGTGCATCTTGTCTATACCTGTGTGCTTATATGCACACAGTCCCCTTAGGCAGAAACTTAAATTAACATGGTGTTCAGCCTCTCCTCACAGGGGGTGATATGGTGTGTTCTAGAATTCCATTCTTCTGTTCTTCAGAGAGATCTAACATCAACATTCTCTCCCATCCACACCTCCCATGGAGCCAAAGAGGGTTCAAGAGGACAGTTTCTTTTTTAGTTTGTTTGGTTTTTGTTATGTTTTGTTTTGTTTTGTTTTGAGGCAGGGTTTTTCTGTGCAGTCCTGGCTGTCCTGTAACTCAATCTGTAGACCAGGCTGGCTTGGACCTCACAGAGAATGGCCTGCCTCTGCCTCCCAAGTGCTGGAATTAAAGGCGTGTAGCACCACATCCCTGGAAGACAACTTCTTAAATCTCTCTTTATCTCTTCCTCCACTCCTGCCACTGGCTCCACCATCGTGCCATTTCCCCCCTGATACCCAGTTCTCCACCATTGCCCCCACCAGGCAGCAGCAAATGTGCAAAGAAAGGCTACAGCAGCCAATAAGCCTCTTAACAGAGGCTGGGGGTAAGGCATTTGCCTAGCATGCATAAGGCTTTGGGCTCAATCCCTTGTACTGCAATAAGAGAATAAAAAAAAAAAAAAAAAAAAAGGCAACTACCCCAAATAAAATAGCTCTTACCAAAAGCCAACATTAGGGACAGCGGTCTTGGCAGACAGAGCAAGGTTAAATGGGGGGAAGGGATAGGAGGTAGCCTGGGAAACTCCAGAGAGAACAAGGCTGGGGTAGACTTTGGAAACACAGAGGATGGGTGACTGCCCTTCAGGTGCAATTGAACTTATATTTGCACACACTTGCTCTTAAGTCTCTCTGCAAATACACATGTTCCTAACATATGCTTCTTATGCCAGCACTGGCACATATAAATCTCAACACACAAAGGTTCATTCACACCCAATATAAGCCTATACATTTAACTGATACATGTGCATACTAATCTTTTGCATACATATCTTATTCAGGAATATATACATATTCCTGGGCACCTAGCCCACATGCATACATAAACATACATGCTACACATAACACATATAACTTTACCCACATATGCCTGTACATACCTGACTACACATTAGCACATACATTCTTATGTTAACTTGTGCTCATGTCAACTAATACATACTTACTTGTGCACAACCACACACAGGCCTGCAAATACACACACTTGTGCACACTCTTAGCAATGGTCCTGGTGCCTGCAAGGTGCTTCCCTCTGTTGGAGACATCGGATAAGTTCCTTTCGGTTGTCTAGGATGGTGTCAAAGCTGTCTTGCAGTCGGGCCTGCTGGTCAACCAATTGGTGCTGGAGAGCCCGGATCCACTGAAGTAGTGCCAAGCGGCGGTACATCACTAAGTGTGCATGGTGCTTCTCCTTCTCCTGCTCTTTGTAGCGCTCCTGAGCCTGTAGCTGCTGCACAGCCTGGGCCACGGAGGGCAGAAGGGGATCCAGGGGGCTCGGGCCTCGAGGAGTCCCACAGACAGGCTCCGGACTGCTGCTAAGGCTGTCGATGCTCAAGGAACTGCTGGCATAGCCAATGTCCTCCAGAGGAGAGCAGACGCTGCTGGCACCACTCAACTTGTCAGGCTCAGCACCAGAGATCTCTGCACCCTCAGGGGGACTGCGGACTCCCGCCTCGAGGAGCCCCGAGGCTGGGAAGAGCTGGTTGTCAGAGGGTGACTCAGAACTCCTCAGGATGGGTTCCACTTTGCCTGGCACACCATGCCAGTTCTTGTTGGCATCCTTAGCACTGTCCACAAAGTTGGAATTATTGTCTGGCTGGAGCTCGGGTTGACATACTCCAGGAGGCAGGCTCCCCAGGAACTGGGCCCCCTCTGCTAACCCTGGCTGGATGGCAGCGAACATCTGGTCTGTGAAGGGGAAGCAGGAGTGACAGCAGGTAAGGGTGATGTGGCAGCCTGAGCCCCAGGACCCTCTCCAGGCTTTCCTTCCCTTCTCTCTGACCATGTGTCTGTCTTCTCATAAGGTTTCCCTGTAAGGCTGACTGTCTCTTATATTTTGGTTGTGAGACTAGCCTTTAACGCTGAGCCATCTCTCCAGTCCATGGCTGACTGTCTCTTACATGCTTCTCCAGATCACTTCATTCTCTGTGGTAGCGTCAATAACCATCATATGTGGATGACTCGCAGATGTGTCCAGCCCAGATACAACCGCTATTCAACCTACCAAAGGTTCTTCAAACCCCAAACAGCTCTCCTCCTCAGGGTCTTCAGGCAAGAAAGCTCTGCTACCTGTTAAGTCAATCCACCAGGACCTAGGAGCACCCTGGACTACTTACCCTCCTTCCTCAACCCCTACCCACTGTCTACTTTCTGACATTTTGGCTCTGGTCATTTTTTTTTTTTATCCAGATGACTATCACATACTTTTTCCTGACCCTCTTCCAATTAAAAATATAAATGTAGGGATGGAGAGATGGCTCAACAGTTAAGAGAACTAACTGGTGGCTCTTCCAGAGGATCCAGGTTCAGTTCCCAGCACTCAAGTCGGATGGTTCACAATTGCCTGTAAAGCTGGCTCCTTATCAACACCTTCTTCAGGCCTCTTTGGTTACCCACATGCATGTGTGCATACAGACACATGCAAATATTTTTTTAATTATTAAAATGATGCCTGGTTATATAGCAACAATTTTTTCGGGGGGGAGGGGGTTGAGACAGTTTCTCCATGGCTTTGAAGGCTGGTCTAGAACTAGCTCTTGTAGACCAGGCTGATCTCGAACGCACAGAGATCCACCTGCCTCTGCCTTCCAAATGCTGGGATTAAAGGCGTGTGCCACCACCACCTGTCAAATAACAACAAATAATATTTTTAAAAAAATAACATATATCAGCTGGGTGGTAGTGGCTCACACCTTTAATTTCAGCACTTGGGAGAGAGGCAGAGGCAGGTAGATCTCTGTGAGTTCCAGGCCAGCCTGGTCTACAGAGCAAGTTTCAGGGCAGCCAGGGCTATTCAAAGAAAGAAACAAACAAAAAACAAAAACAAAATCTTTCTCATTTCTCTATGTGTGTGTGTAGACAGATAGATATATGATATATACATATAAATTGTGTATATATATATATATACACACCTATATATAAATTATATATATATATATATATATATATATATATATATATATAAATTCAGCCAGGTAGGACAGCTAAAGCAGGAGGGTTGCAAGTTCAAGGCCAGCCTGGGCTACATAGCAAAACTATCTTAGTAAAGCCAAACTACCCTTCTTGCAAAATGTGTAAATTTGATTGGAAATGGCTTTGAATACTGCCCCTAAAGAACTGTTAGACCTCTGCAGTCCTTGCTTTTCCTGGCCCTCCACACAATTACCACTCTGTCTCTCTCATCCCACCAAACCACTCAGAGGCCCCCAGGCACACCATTCTCCCAGTATTCATCTGGCCTACAGTATTCTGCACCATTCCTCCCTCTAAGCGCCTCCTCTCCACCTAGAAAATTCTGTCTTTGTCTTTAAAGTCTACCTGTCTGAAGCCTGCCAATATGGTGCCCGGATCCGGCCCGGATACATACCATCTACATAGTAACTATGACTCCTCTGGCTCCCCACTGTCCTCATGCACTCTGTCTTACCCACATGTGTTTCCTATCTCTGGCACACACTGTTGACGGCTAGCAAATGCCTAGTCAACTGGAACTGTTTGTATAAACGATCTTGTGATCACTTCTAATCTGACTCCTTGGCTAAGACCAAGAGCTCCTTTATATAACCTCTTGGCACAGTGCTTCTCAACCTGATCGTCACAACCCTTTGGGTCAGAAAACCTTTTCACAGGGGTCACCTAAGACGATCGCTAATCATAGATATTCACATTACAATTCATAACAGTAGCAAAATTGCAGTTATGAAGTAACAATGAAAATCATTTTATCGTGGGGGGGTCCTCACAACATAAAGAACTGTATTAAAGGGTCGTTGCGTTAGGAAGGTTGAGAACCACTGCTCTAGAGGATATCCAGGATTGCAGGGTCCGTGCTGAGAGTGAATGACGGTCTACGGTGGGATTCCTGCACTTAGGAAGTCAAATGGCAGCAACAAACTACTTCAGAGGACCCTGGCTTGCAGACTCGGTTTCATTCTTCTCCTCCACACTAAGGAGCCCCTCCCTCCAGAACCCACAATGACAAGCCTCTCTTGCAAGCTTGTTCCCTCCCTCACAGTGCTAGGGACATATTCACTGTACCCAGTTTGCTCCATCTTGAACCCTCCTCCACTCCCGTCTCTAATAACCGCTTTTGGGTGTAAACTCACAAGAGGATCTACTGACCACATTACCATGACTGGAAGAACTGAGGACTCCTGGGTAAGGAATACTATTAAGTCAAACAGCCACTAGGAAGACCCTCTCCCCCATTAAATGGCAGGGACCCTACCCACACCCAGCAATGAGCAGAAGTCCTGAGAGTTGAGGTGGGGACAGATGCTTCGCCCCTCTGGCTTTTGTAAAAAAGGCCTGAAGATCTTCCCTCCCCTCAATTTAATATTCTTTTTTTTCCTAAAAACTCTGGCCAGGCTCATAAAGGAAGCTGGGGTGAGGCGGCATGGGAGTGGAGCTAAGGCTCTTGGTTCAGAAAGTGAGCCCAGACGTCCTAGGATCTGGACCCACCCCCACCCCTCCAGCTAATGCAGAGTGTAGGGGGAGAGGGGGTGCAGGACCGGGATTGGCCGCCTCGCAGGAGACAGCACTGTGACCCTAATCTCTGCAGAGGCAGCTCCCCTCCCTGCTCTCCCGCGGCTGGGCCCCAGGCCCTCCACCAGGGCCCAGACTCACCGGCGCGCGCCGGCCCTTGCAAGGCTGACTACAGTTCTGGGACCTGCTCGCAGCGGGGGAGCGGGGCTTCCTCGGCCTGTGCGTGCACGCGTCGTGGCGTGGCTGCGTGGTTCCCGCACCGCTCGCCCAGCCTGGCCCGACTGCAGGGTCCACCGTCGTCTGCGTGGCTGGGCGGGGCGGCCTGACCCACGTGGGTCGGTTCGGTTCTCCGCGCAGGAACTGCCTCCTCCCGCGGCTTGACCCTATCCTTCCAGGTCCGGTGTCATCTCCTAACCATCCTGGCCCGGCGCCTCGGATCCATCGGTTCTCCGTGCTGCAGACATGGCGACGATGTGCCTCCTTCCTGGGTTTCCCGGTCTGCTGCTGCACCCGCTGCGATCCTTACCCAGACCTGCTCCTCTCCTTTTGTGATTTGCACATATCTTTCTGCTGAAAATTCTCCCTTCGTTTCCATAACTCGTAGTTTGGATCCTTGAGGACCCTTCTGAATCCTATTACCCTAACCCTAACTATGGTTATTCCCTCTTCAATCCTATTTCAGAAGGGGGGGGCTTTCTTTTTCTTCACATACTGTGCTTATTTGATTACATTCATTTAGTGGAAGCTGTGTAGATTTTGGTTGTTTTGCTTGTTTCCCTGAAACTCACTGTATAGACCAGGCTGGCTTCCAATGTACTGAGAGATCTTCCTGTCTCTGCCTCTGGAGAGCTTGGATTAATGGCATTAGCTACCATGCCTGGCTATCTCCCAAGACAGCAGGTTTTCAACTGGTGGGTCGCGAACCCTTAGGGGATTGCCTAAGGCCATCAGAGAACATATTTACATTGCAAATCATAATAGTAGCAAAATTACAGTTATGAAGTAGCAATGAAAATAATTTTATGGTTGTGGGGTCACCACAACATGAGGAACTGTATTAAAGAGTCGCAGCATCAGTAAGGTTGAGAACCCCTATTGGGAAAGGGCTCAGGATTCATGTCCTATACCCAGTACTGGAGGGGCAGGGGCTTCTTCCTTAAAGGACAAAGAACCTCAAGGCACCTGCGCAGTGGATTTCTCTGCTTTTGTCCAGGTGAAGAGGAACTCCAGTGGATTCTCCCCAGAGTTCTTTTTACTAAGATCCTCCTGCTGCTGCTGCTGCTCCTCTGGGATATGTGGAGATGGGGCACAGTTTTCTCTTCCTTCCTTCCTCCCCCCCAGCCCCCATTTCTCTGTGTAGCTCGAATTCTAATTGGTCTTTAAAAACAAAGTCACATATAGAGGTTAATGCTGGAAGATCAGAGAAGCCAAACAGTCAACACTAGTTCTCACCTCTACTGAATCCTCAGGCCAGATTGCAATCCTGTCTCTAGGAATCCTCAGACTGGATACAATGAGATCCAGTCTCTTCCCATCTTATATTCCTCTCTCTGCCCAGTCATATCACTCCTGTCTCCACCCCCCTAGTGCTGGGATTAAGCCACCACTGCCTGGCTCTGTTTCTCTTTTAGAGAATCTCATGTAGCTCAGGGTGGCCTTGAACTCACTGATATCTGTCTAACTCTACCTCCCAAGTGCTGGGATTAAAGGTGTATGCCATCACTGCCTGGCCCTCTATGGTTAACTAGTAGCTAGCTCTGAACTCTGATCTTCAGGCAAAATTTATTTGTTAAAGCACAAACAAAATATCACCACAGCCGTGGCTGTCCGGAACTCACTCTGTAGACCAGGCTGTCCTGGAACTGAGAGATCCACTTGCTTCTGTCTCCTGAGTGTTGTGAATAAAGGCGTGAGCATCACTGCCGAGCCAGTTTTTTTTAAAGATTTTACCTCCCTCTCTCTTTCTGGTGTGTGTGTGTGTGTGTGTGTGTGTGTGTGTGTGTGTGTGCATGTGTGTGCAGGTGACCAGAGGTCAGAAGATGACATCAGAAGTCCTGGAGCTGCTGGGAGCCAAACTCCGGTCCTCTACAAGAGCAACACATTCTCTTAAACGCTGCCACCTCTCCAGCCCCAAGGGGCCCAGTTTTCAACCAAATAACAGCAATTACTGACCAATAAATAATAAAGGCATCCTTTTTTTGGCTCCAACTTGATTTCAGTTCACCATTCTGCAACC